TGTTCATATAGACAGAGTTAACGATACCTCCTCCCTCGATTCGGATCAAAACGGGTTGAGCTTCCTTTCGTCATATAATGGATATTATCAGGACTGGAACTCATAGTCTAGTCTGGAGGTCAGGAAATGGTAGTTTGCAGCCTACTCATATCAATGCAGGAGAATTCAACTATCAGTCGCATGAGACTTAGGATGAGTAGAACTCTTGTATCAAAACAGACTAATTATGAATATATACGTTTTCCGTATCTACAAGGCAACTATAAATGTGATATCGTTAAGGCCCAGCTTGTCTTACAATTCACGTCCGTCCTGTAGCGCCTTGGCACCTATGACAGTATGGCGTAGTGGGAAGATGTCGAAAAGATACGCTGCATTACCCAAGTTCGAATCCTGTCGTGTATGCTGACGAGGCAAATTCAGGCGAAGTCGAAACGACAGTCTATCCGGGCTAAATAAAAATACCTTTTGGAAGACAAGGCCAAATCGAATTCAATTAGTTAACATTGTGTTGAAATTCAGCCGACATTCCTTCATCTTATGCGCCCTGGAATGATTAGGAGTCTTATTCAAGATTTATGGATAGTCTTGAAACCTGGCTACCATGATATAAGACTTGGTAATAATCTTATGCAGCCTAGGTTCTGGTGCTGGAACCCCATGGATGAGTATCTGGTCTTTCCAGGTTTGTTTCGTGCATCCTATCCAAGTCTGTCTGTAAATCAAGCTTAACGCAAACCCCAATCAAAAAAACTTTAGTGTTGTCGTGGTGAAGAGTCTTGAGATCAGTGCAGCCCCACAGCGGAAAGTCAGACTGGACAACAAGGCCAACCCAGAAATTCAAGTCGGAAGATCTGATGCGCCAGGATGAGTCTCGAGTTCGAATATGCATTCTGGACCTTTTGTAAAGAGCCGAACAAAATCTTTAAATAGGCCTTCATTGATGGCATCAGTCTCAGCCATCTGGAGGCAATTAGATCTATTTAATATTATGACTTTCAGAGAGTCTATGCTCGTTTGCAGCCCGATTTTGGAGGTTGTATTGAGTTGAAGTGAAGCCTAAACTACAAGACTATGAGTACAAAGCACTGTCACAGGCTTCAAGATGATGGAGAGCTCAAGAGCTTCAGTTCGTTCAAACAGCGTCCAAGAAAAGCCTTCTTTCCAGTTTTTGCATTTGGAACCAGGACCTCCAGTCAACCCTGAAATGACTCATCATGACCGCGACTAGAGGATAGTTGCACAACATGATAAGACCCTTGGCATGGCTACATGTCGAATTTATGTTTTACACTATCGGATTCGAGTCCTGTTGGAGAGAGACCTTGATGTCAAAACTATGACCCAGCCGGGAGGAAAATACTTTTTTGGAAGCGAGGCCTGGTGAAATTTGCTGGAAAATCTGATGGCTACTCATCAAAGTGTGGGAAAAGACAACCTTAAATATCACCTCAAGCAATCTAAGGTGGCAAAAGCTGTTATTCACGATCTACTGAAGCCCTCGAAATCATATTTAATTCGAATCCAAATCTCTAACATCCGGAAAGACAGGAAGAAGCAAGTGTTCGCCATTCAGCCATACAAGGCAGCCTGATCTCCATAACGACTTGCCGGGCCGGATGGAGACTAAGCGTAGCCTGGATCACGGGTAAAGCTGAAGTACAGCTATCGGCTCTACCTTCCTCCAGAGATGAATGTTTTTTTCAGTCGGTAGAATGGCGTTTGTTGAGAGGCGAAAACAAAATTTCAGGTCTGCGCCTAATTTGCATATAAGATTTGTTATCAGATTGACTGACTAGTAAGAGGTCAGAAAGTGTGACGAAAAGTGAGGAGGCAGAAGCAGAAAACGGATTAAGGCAGACGAGCACAGTCCCATCTGGACAGGCAACGATGTGGGGCTTGAGGCAGTGAAGAGTGCTTCCACAGTTACCATCTCAACAACTTCTCAAGAAGGCACTTTCCATCAGCCCAGCTGACACCACCAGGAGACATGAGTGGCCGACAACAAGAAACTGGTGAGTTCTTTAAAGGAGTCCCAGTGTCTCGGCAACATCAGTTGCGCAAGGAAACTGCAAGTCAGGCTGGTAGGGCCTAGACCCTGTGTCAGATCGAGCCGATGAGTGAGGCTTGCGGCAGAAGAGACTCACATGCACTTCTTGGCAAGCAATTTCTTTGTGCTTCATGCATTGTCTGCATGCGGTACATTTGCATTGAGCATCGGTCCACCTAGTTCGGTTGTCAGGCCCCGGGTTGCAAATAAAGCTCGTTCCAGGTCCGATAACAGTGCCAGCTTGGACATGGCTCAACGCGTCCCTTCTTCTCATCGCCCGACCTTGACCTGCAGCTGACGATGGTAACTGTTGCCACCAACCCGACTCTCCTGAAATGAGACAGCTCCATACCAGCAAAAATTGAGGATAGATTGTTTTCCGATATAACAGGAAATTCGCTCACGACAATCAACATCTGGTACAAGACAAACTCAAATATGGCAAAATTCAATCTCCATTCAGATAGCACGTACTTGACACGATCTTCCGATTCAGACCTGCACATACAATCCTGTATTATCTGCATCATCTCATCAATGCAATTGACTCGTTTTGACTCAAATGTACTGGTAGTCAGCAGCAGAATTTCTGTATTATTATCTGTCCTGAAACGTCGAATTATACCTAATTCGTCTGTTTTAGGTTATACTGCGGGCGATATTAATAGAAGGAAAACTTTGAGCTTTTAGGTAGATTTCAGATAATAGTTCTAATCTCCCTAACTCGTTTGATTTGTTGAAGTAACATATCATTCATTTCAAAGAAAAATTTGACTGGAAAGAATTCGTGATGCGGTATAACGGGAAAAGGAGAAGGAGGATTGTCGCGTAGGGAAGACTGTTGAATTGTGCGGAGAAGTCCCCAGCTCAACGATGAACCTGTGCTAAGATTTAGTCTTTACTGAGACAGACATCCTCAGAGTAAGAGTCCATACTTTACGATATAGAGCAAGAATATACTAAGTACATGCGAAGAAAAGTTGGGTTTCAATGAATCTCTTGTTTCATAATTGTTAGGCTTACTTCCATTTCGAGGGGAAATGTTTGGTGAAGAGATTCGAAGGTCGATTCCACCAGGAGATTGACTCGTTATCTTGAATTTGGTTGTAACGATGATACCTTGCTCTGATGATGTTCGTCATATGACGGACGAAAGCCTGGCCCGTTTTCATCGAATTCGAAGGAGATTACCTTGGAAAAATCGTCAACATGAATGTTCAAGTAAAGCCAATCTACAGTTGGCCAGGAGGAATCTGCCATCGCCTTCTGGTGGAACCGACCTTCGATGCTCTTCACCCAACACTTTCACTCGAAATGGAAGTAAGCTCAACAAAATATATTAAAACAAGAAACAAGGTGGCCGGCTGCAATTCTAATCGATTTTTATACTCCTAGCCACGCGATCTCATGATTCGGTTGGCTACTTCATCCTTACTTTACATACTTACTGATGAGTGAAGTTAATTCACAAACCGGAAATACGTTTGGTTGCAGATGTTTCCTCTAACATTTATTCTTGTTTGGGCTTGTACAATTGTCTAATGTGTGTATGTATTGTTCATGTCATGGAAAGTGTGAAAGTCTTAATTAGACTCGAGGATAAACTGGTCTTCTTCTCTTCACACCTGCTATTCATCTTGGCACTTTCCCTTAAGATCGGCAGATCCGACTGCGGCCTCCTATCCGGATCTCCCTCATGGTCCCGTAGACCCATTTCCTATATTTCTGGTTGACCGATTTCACTC